GACTGAAGAGACTGCATAGAGCCGTGTCTAGGCTGGACAAGAGCGGTCAACGAAACTCTGACGACGATGCCAACTAAGGCTCCACACGGGGCCTCTGATAAATCGACATGTTGGCCGCGTTAAGGGGTAGAAAGCAACCAATGGTTCCACGTCTGGCATTAAGAAAGAGCCAACTATCCCTTCTTTCCCCTGCCTAATCTGGCCAAAAAACAGGCAATTTTCCACTTCTCCCAACTTTGTTTGCAGGCAATGAGCAAAATTGAACTTGCAGAACCTCTGCTTAATTGACTTGTGCCTTTTTGCATTTTGACAATATTTTGTTTTTGTACACACATTTTTCCCATCCTCCGAAATCCCAATGACGGATGCAGACACAGGAGATCCGCGATGCCTACAGGAGTAGTTAGAGACATCGAGAAGTACTCTTTGATTCGGATCCAAAAAGGTTATCACCAACCATATGTGCACACACACATGACATGTTAGTGCACGTGTGCCTTGATTTGCCTAAGTGATTGAGTGCATTCTTTATTCTGGCAGAATAAGGCAATGGAAGAACTGTTGTCTGAAATTCCCACAATGAAATATGTGCACAACTCTACGATACCATTGAATTTCATGTAGTCATAATTCCTAAAAGGTCTCATCCAAGCCGGGCTGAGGGTTCGACCACACAGACGAGAAACGTTTGATATGTTTGCCCTCCGGCAGATTGGCTCGGAAGCTGCGGCAGATAGCATTGAAATGGAACATCTGTACAATGCTGAAGAAAAGGACAACCGTCTTCACCAGATTGCCTGATCCACATGAAGAAATCAACAAAATGGAGTCTTCCGGAGACAGCGCCAAGGAGAGGATCATGAAGGACAAAGGGAAGTCAATAAAAAGCGATTGAAGTTATTTGACCTTGTTTTCGCAACTTGGTCATATTAGCAGGAAGACTTAGAGAAATGCACCTTGTCCTGAGACCATTGTATGCATAATTATTTCCAAAGTCGGACCGTGGACGCGGTACATTCACAGACGTTTCGCCGGCATCGTAGTCGGCATCGTCAGTGAGTCTCCCCATTCGTAGCACCGTATTACAACTCGTCAAAGAGACAAGTGAAGCCGATCCTTTGACCAAACGTGTGATAAACAGTTATGGTATCTCCCATTCTGCTACAAATGGTAAAACTCACTGACGCTGCCGACTAAGATGCCGGCGAAACGTCTGGGAATGTACCGCGACCACGGTCCGACTTTGGAAATAATTATGCATACAATCGACTCCGGACTAGGTACATTTCTCTAAGTCTTCCTACCGATATGACCAAGTTGCGAAAACAAGATCAAACAACCACACAAAAGGTCACACCATTTTGGTCTTCATACCTTCGAAAAAGCGATTGAATTGGGACAAATCGAACCTGGAATCAGCCTGCAAATTTGCCGATGTGAAATACGAAAGTAAAGGTTAGAAATGGGCAGATTATGCTCCTCTACAGATGCTTGGCTAAAGGTATAGGTGTGCCAGAGATAATTCCCCAATGTGCGTGTTTTTGTGCTTGCGGGCCTTTTCGGGTGTGTGCATTATGGAGTGGTGACCAACAATAAGCCTGACCAGACAGGTGGAAATACCAAGTAAGGTACACATGAACAACTGCCTAGCACCCTGGGGTTAGATGGTACTGTCAACTTGAGAGACAAGATTGGTCTATTTTGCATGATTCGGGAGTGGAAAAAGGAAGCGGTGTTTCCGAATTGAGCCGGACATAGGACCCCAAAGAATGAGATACAGTGAGAGTGGGAATGAGAAATAGGATAGCTAGGCGGTGAGTCTGAAGCCTATGGGGCGCAAGATGCCTAGGCATGGGCATCATCGGCGATAAATCCTCAAAAATTACGCAAACCGGGATGGAAATTAAAGGCTCTTAGGCAGCCAGATGGTGATTTTAATGTGAAGCAGCGACCAATTCACAAGTGGTATGGAAAGGGGGCTTAATGCAATTCGTGAGTCCTGCAAACACCATCTGGAACCGGTGGTAAAGATGATTCCGCCCCACTAAATCCACTTATAGCAACACACTCTTGGACAACACTGGAGGAAGCAAGAGAACATAATATTGACCATAAAAGGTGGGTTTGAGAGAAAGGGGTACAGCACTGGACGGTAGAAAAACGATTTAACATAAGATTGGTCAAGGGGACTGCCTTCACTTGTCTCTGATAAGTTGTAACTTTGTGTGAAAGATGACGCCTCTAACTGACGAAGCCGACAACTATGCCTGCGAAACGTTTGGGAATATACTAAGAGCCGATGCTGGAAAGCATATATACTAAAGCATAGGGCACAGGACTAGATACGTGCCACAAGGTCTACCAAGTTTTGAAATAAACTTAAGTATAGAGTCAATGATGATATTGATAAATCTGGTAATGTAGTGTATACATTTTACCTGTAATGGTGAGCTGTGCAAATAAATATGAAGAAAAGTTGGAGGAATCTCTTGTTTCATAATTGTTAAGCTTACTTCCATTTCGAGTGAAAGTGTTGGGTGAAGAGATTCAAAGGTCGGTTCTACCAGAAAACGACGGCAGCTTCCTCTTGACCAGATGTCGATTGGCTTTACTGGAAGACTCATGCC